GTGCCCTATGGTCATCTGACTTGGGAGTCACCGGCTGAAAACTCGCTACAAGGGTCACTTAGTCGCTTAATGGAGAGAAGTATATAAAAAATATATATATTAAAAAAAAGAGAAAAAAATTTGGGAATGAGTAGGTGTATGAAACAGAAGACGCACCAAGTGTCAAGATTAAGCCTCGAACAACTGTTCTAGGGACTTATACCTTTGACAATGGGTCATGAGCTCAATTGAGTCTTAGAAGCCGAAGTAATCAAAAATATGGGAGAATCCTTATGAGTTGAGATGGGAATCTATATTAGTTACGATCTATCCAAATGAGAGAGGGTAAGGATTAGAATTAGCTAAAAATCAATCTTAGTGCATACCTCAAGAAAAGTGAGTAAAAGTCATAAGTTTGGGGGTGTGTATCTTACGAGTGAGGAAAGAAAATAATTGACTACTACAGGTTGGGAATCAAACTAGTTATTAGTGTTATGATGTTTACATGAATATTCACACACACTTTGAGTTTCACATTGATTGAGGGGAAATTAATTTCAAATGTGTAATTTGGACACTTTTCAAAGTAATGACACAATTATCCAATCCTGAGACTAACAGCATACCATCTAACCAAAGTTTAATTAGATCGGGCTATAAATTGTTTGAGGGCAAACAAATGTTCAAGTTTAGGGGTGTTTGATAAGTGTATTTTATACACTTATTTAGGCCATTAAAATTGAGTATTTGTTAAAGAATTTGATGGAATATGGCTTAATCCTATTTATATATTGTGTGTAGGTTACAATTAATGCAAGATACGAGAATAAAGAAAATAAGTAGGAAAAATGACTCAATTACATCAAGGTAAAGTTTGGGGACTACAATGCAATAATCCAAAAGTTGAATTGGATCAAAGAAAGATGAGTTGAGAACACCAAGAGTCAATTGGAGTTGAAGAGAAGCTAATGGGACAAGAAATTTTGGAAAAGGACCAAAACACACACTTCAGAAAGTTGAGGGACCAAATTGTAAATTGGCCCCTAAAATAGTTGAACTGTGCGTACGCATAGACTTGCAAGTTGTGCATACGCACGATTGGAAAATTTTCCTTCCGAAGCTAAATTGATGATACTATGCGTACGCACCAAAATGTACTATGCGTACGCATGGTTCAATTCCAACAAAAAAATTTTGTTTCCTTATTTTGTTTTGGAAAGTCTTAGTTTACAATTCTTTGCACGATATTTATACCAAAAGTCGACAAAAATATGGGGAACCTAATTTTTATCATCTTGGAAGCCGACAAAGAGGAAAAGGAGAGCGGGATATATATTGAAGAAGAAGGTTTCATCACTTGGATCCGAAATTGAAGGCATAAAGTGGAGGATTTCAGATTCTTCTCATACTTTAATGATTCAGGTGATGTAGTTCCTTTATTTTTCCTGTTTTTCATATATTAATAAGCTAGGCTAGATATCTTTGTATTGGATGGATGACAAAACTGTTTGACTCCTAGTTTTTAATTCAAGACCTTATGTTTTTATTTTAATTCTTGCGTTGTGGTTTCTTTAATATGCATATATTTATTGTTTTAATGTTTGTGCACCATTAAGATAACAAGTTGCTTATTCATAGTGTTGGAAAACTTACGGTAGGTAGAACACTGTTATTGGAACGCATGGACAATGAATGTTAGGAATAATATTTGTGACGTATGCGATCATGTGTGATAATCTTATACATCAATGCATGTTTGCCATATGAATTCGGACTAGGAATAGGATCGTTTCATGGTAATAATAGGTTTATTATATCTTGGGAAAGAATAATAAATATCTGTTGAATTATCGATCGTCACAATTGCATGAGTTGAAATAATTGTCATAGGTCGAGAATTAGAACTAAGAGTTGATCAGTGGCGCCGGAAATCCAATACATTCACTCATCTAAACTCTAAAACAAATTCAAATTTTTAGTTATAGAACTTAATTAGCAATTCAAACAAACGTCAACTTTCAGTTAATCTCACGAATTTAATTATATTGAATACACTGGAATTAGACCTTATTCCCTGTGGGACGACAACTCTTTCATCACAATTATTACTTGTTCAACGAACCCGTACACTTGCGGAATTTTAACGAACATGTCCTTCTTGGAAAGGAAAAATCACGTATTCTTCATTTTTCGGAACATTCCAATCCCACGAACTTCCTTCATCGAATTTCACATCTCTACTAATAACAATCTTTCCATTGCAAGGATTGTAAAACTTGTAACCTTTAGAGTTTGCATCATAACCGATGAAAACAAACTTCTCACTTTTCTCATCAAGTTTTAATCTCTTCTCATCTGGCACATGAATATAGGCAATACTACCAAAAACACGTAAATGAGAAACACTAGATTTATTACCACTCCAAGCTTCTTGTGGAGTCGTGTCTTAAACACTCCTTGACGGGGAAAGATTAGACAAATACACGGCACATGCAACAGCCTTGGCCCAAAACTCTTTCTCCATACTCTTGCTCTTAAGCATACTACGAACTATGTTGAGAATGGTTATATTCTTTCACTCCACAACACCATTTTGTTGCGGTGATCTTGGAATTGTAAGGAAATGTCAAATTCCATTTGTATCACAAAAATTGTTAAACTCCTTGGAAGTGAATTCTCCACCTCCATCCATCCTTGATGCTTTGATTGAGTTGTCACTCTCATTTTCAACAAGGGCTTTGAATTTTTTGAATGCTCCAAAAACTTCATCTTTAGTCTTCAAAAAATAAACCCAGGCCTTGCGAGAAAAATCATCAAGAAACAGTAAGAAATAATTTGCTTTACCATGAGAAGGTGGTTTGATTGGCCCGCACACATCCACACGAACAAGTTGGAGTGACTTTGTTGCTTTTGAGGTGGATTCCTTTGGAAAGCTTCTTCTAGTTTGCTTGCCAATGAGGCATCCTTCACAAAGTTGATTGGGATGATTAATTTTTGGCAACCCATTCACCGTTTCTTCATTCGTCAAGGTCTTCAAGCCATCAAAATTCAAATGACCAAATCTTAAGTGCCAAAGCCAAGAGTTGTCTCCAACACAAGCTTTTAGACACCTTGGATGGTCAACATTAACATTGAGTAAAAACATTCTATTCTTCTCCATTGGCACATTTGCAATCAGTTTATGAGAAACATCTCTCAAAGTAAGACAACAATTCTTCAAGTGAATGTCATGGCCATTCTCAAGTAATTGTCCCAGACTCAAAATATTAGACTTCAAGGTAGGTACATAATAAACTTGAGAAACCAAAAGATGACTTCCGTGTTTAGCACGAATAAGAACATTACCTTTGCCTTTTATTGGAACTTTAGTTTCATCTTCAAAAATAATGTTGCCTTTTACCGACTTATTTATTGTTGAGAATAACTCCTTGTTGCCACTCATGTGATTGGCAGCACCGATGTCAAGGTACCACGATTGTTTATCCTTTTCTTCTTTGGTTGCCAACAACAACAACAATTCTTCATCTTCCTTTATTTCAACATAATTCACTCTCTCTTCATTATTGGTGGTGTCATTCCTACATTCGGAAGCATAGTGACCACATTTATGACAAGTGTAACATTGAACATTGGACTTGTCATATCTTCTTCCGCCACCTCTCTAGGAACCATAGTTCCAACGCCCTCGTCCTCTCGAGTGATTGCTTGATCCTTCATTATTCAAATATTGTTTTCCACCATTTCTTTCATTACCACGACCATAATTTCCTCCGCAACCACGACCATGAATTTGACCTCTTCCTTGAGATCATCCTTGCTCTTTCTGTTGACCTCCCAAGGAAACATTCATTTGGAGAACTTGAGCCATCGGTTCTCCTTTCTTCTTCAATCTTTCTTCATATACTTGCAAGGACCCCATGAGTTGATCAAGGGTCATGGTATCCAAGTCATTAGACTCTTCAATGACAATACTAACAAACTCAAGTTTTAAGTCAAGCGATCTAAGAATTTTCACGACTTTCTTCAATATTCTCCCCGTACCGCTTCTTATGATTGACAATGGAGGACACTCTAGTGAAATAGTCAAAGACAAATTCAGACTCTTTCATGTGCAGAGATTCAAACTCTCCACGAAGGATTTGAAGGCACACCTTCTTCACTTTTTCAATTCTCTTGAAATTATTCTCGAGAATCTCCCAAGCTTCCTTAGCTTTTGTTGAGGACGCAACTTTCTCGAACATGACTTCATCTAAGCCCATGTGAATAATAGAGAGAGCGTGTTGATATAACTTGCGGTACCTTTGCAAGGCATTCCTTTGAGCTTGACTTAAAGCTCCTTCATTCTCTGGTCCATCATAGCCTTTCTCTACAACTTCACATGCCTCTTGTGAGCCGAGCAATGCCTTCATGCATATGCTCCAATGTCCATAATTTTCCTTTGTTAGTTTGGGAACAACAAAAGGAAACGAACTATTCATCTTTGAAATGGCTCTGATACCAATTTGTTGAGAAAAAATTATGAGATGAAAGACTAGAGAGAAAACTTCAGAAAATTCTCAAAAATATTTGTATTCTATGGCTTGGCTCTATAAAATGTCTCAAACACAAGGCTTTTTATAGGTACAATGGATCTCAAATCTATTGTATGAATTTAATAGATTAATTAATGACTTTTCCTACATACTATGAATAATAGGATACAAAGAACCATTTGGATACATGATTTAAATAAATGCATGAATATTAAATAAACTAATTCATGTATCAAATTTAATTTTTTTCATCATTCATGAATCAAGTTTAATTTCCAACATATTCAACTATTCTCATTCTGGTTCTCTGGGAAAAAAATTTGTTGGGTATAATCCTGCGAAAAATAATTAAAAATGAAAAGTTAAAATGAGAATTACAATTCACAAAACCATAAACCGTAATCCTTATCTTCTCCTTTTCTCATTCTGGCATCAACCATAAACCGTAATCCTTATCTTCTCCTTTTCTCATTCTGGCATCAGTTTCGCTTGAAGTGTTTCATGCACTGACAAAATAGTTACAGAATGCCTCTATATTAATAGGGCTTTCTTGGGAGCCCAAGTTACCTTTATAATCATCTATATCTAATCCTGAGATCATTGATGTGCTTTTTGTTCCTCCAGTAACCCCATAAAGCTCAACAAATTACCACATGAACAAATGAAACTGTAAAAGCCACCGCAGGAAGAAATAGTTAAGGAATGCCAATGATTCAAAATCGAAAATGTTGCCTAAGCATTTATAGGTTAGCGCTCGGAGCTACTTTCTGATGGTACACCTGGAGAATATACGAAGCTCAAGGTTCAACAGATTGAAGAAGAGAATAGATCAACTTGGGTCGACAAGTAGACGATAAAAGGCAGCAGTCATGGATGTGTGCAGAGAAAAGGGAGATAAAGATAACGAAGCACAGAAAACTAAGCTAATGCACGGTACCACTGATTGGGACCATAAGCACTAATTCTGCTTGTGAAATCTAGTGCATCAATTTGGAAATTGGTATAAAGGCTTCAGAAGATTGTAATGGCATGCAACAACTTTAAAGTTTAGAAAGAAGGTTATTGTGCAAGTAAAATCTATTACATACGATATCCATTGTATCCCCACCCCCCCCCCACCCCCCAAAATAAATAAATAAATAAAATAAAATAAAATGTGAAGACAAAAGGATAGAATTGATAATTATTATAAAAGTGACATCACCATGTTTATCTTCATTTATTCACCTACTAAGCTTATCCATGTCGGGTCTACTTTATGGAAACTTTTGAGTACTGTTCAATTGCTTCGTCGAGATTAAAGTTCTTGCAGGCAGCACATGGAAGCCCGGTTGTAGACCAATGAGAGAAAATCTTAAATTTGAAAGTTCCATCTCCATCTCTTAGATGGAATCCTTACCATTGTTCCCATTCACTGGCATTGGATTAGGTTGCACGGCTCTGTAGCTCCTCTCCATTCTAACTTTTTTTGATTAATCACAAAGTTTACCTGCAAAAGAAAAAGGTCACGTCAAACTTAATTAGTAAAAATTAGTAGCAAAATAAAAAAAGCAATAATCTGTATAAGGAAAAAGATGTATAGAGATTGACAACAGAAAGCCTACCCAAGCCTAAATATATACACTTAACCAGCTGTTCAAATTAATTGCCATTTAATTCACTTTTGTATTAATGTACATTATTTGCTGTCTTATTGATTTTCCAAAATTGCTTTATTGTTCAAATGCTGGAAATTTTAGGTAAGTTTCTTGAAATTTCCTTTCGATTCCAGCCTTGCAACAGTATAGGTTCCCTAACTAACCAATAGAATGGCGAAGTCAATTTTATCATATTAACCCAAGGATATAAAAAATATATAATGACAACGAAAAGATATCACTTAATGTACACTAGAGAAGATATACACTAATTCCTTCAGATTTAAATTTTGAATTTAATTATATCAAATTTTAAAATGCAGGAAATCAAGGGAGAAAAATATAACTGTAAATTTTACAAAGAATAAACCAATAATTACAACTTTTACAAAGGTGAAAGTGAAAATAAGGAAACAATATTTTAAGTTAAATCAAATATTTGTTTAAATACCGAAAGAATAATTTATCATTATCAAAATATAAATATCTAACAATAGAATAACTCCGACACAGATAAATATAGAATAATTGCGTTGAATTGCATGACATGATAAATTGCGACAATATGATTGGGCTGGTGCAGAACCCTTGTCGTGCTACAAAACTTTTTGTAAGATTGTCTAGCCACGCTTCACTGCATCAAGAGGAGGACCCCACTTGAGTTTTTTTTTTTTTTTTTTTTTATATTATTTTATATAAATAGGGTTGAAATATTTCACAAAAAATTTAATCATTGAATTCCATGACGCGATAATCCACGTCCGCATGGTCGGGGGTGGTGCTGCACCTTTTTCGGGCTTCCAAACTTTTGGAAAATTGACTAGCCAGGCATGATCACCACATCATCAGGTGGACCTCTGGAATTTTCTGTAAACAGGGATTTCATTTTCAGCAAAATCTTAGAATTTCAGAAAGTTCTCCTAGATTTTTTTTTTTTTTCTTTTTTATGATGAACTTGTATCAAACAAGGCATGGAAATTGAAGAACTTGCTGCGACGGGAATTATTACTGCTCATAATTCTTGTAGTATTTCTACTCGATTCTAAAAGGTGGTTGCATCCCAATTTAATTCTCATATGTACATATTAACTCCAAATTGAACAAATAAAATGATTTTGGACATATTTCATTAAAATGGAACTGAACATGCATAATCCTAATATGTAACCTAGATTCAAAAAGCTAAACAAGATAAATATTTCATATTCATTGTACACTATAAAGAATGTGAGTATACGAGGTTACTAGATATTTATGGCATGTCGCCTTATGAAATTGTATGTGTGAGTGAGTAAACCATAGATTCCGATTACTCTCAGTTGAATTAGTTGAAGGAAACACTATTTCACTACAACAAAATTGTTCATTTACGGCTTGCATTTAGTGCATGCCATAAAAATAGGCAAATTACGGCGTGCGATATATGCACGCTGTGAAAGGTTACTGACTTGAAGTATTTACAGTGTGCATCCTGTGCACGCTGTATTAGCATATCATTTACGGCATGCTTTTAGTGCGCGCCGTGTTTGTTCTAATTTTTCTGCCATAAATTAAAACTTTCTCCAGGCCGTTTCATAACAATTATGTCTCTCCCGTTTCCTTTTCCCCATCGCCTCTTGCTTCTCTATGTACCGTTTCATTTTCCCCATCAACAACAACACAGTGGTTCTCCATCACTCTCAATTCACAGCCACCATCTGCATTCTCTCCACGAACGACTTCGCCTGGTGCCTCAGCCCCCATCTGCAGATGCTTCCTTTTCCTTGCTTCGATTTCTTCCTGCTCTGTCCACCATACCGCCTTCTCCCCCAAATTACCCCCCTCAATCAGCCATCAACCGTGAACCCACTAACCTGACGGTCGAAGTTAGCACATGGATAGCTTTTAGGTCGTTTATTGGTTTTTTTTTTTTTTGCTATCAATTTACTGGGAAATAATGTGAAGTTTAAATTGGGTTATTGGTAAAACTAGGGTTCGAATTCAATTGAAATTTCAGTTCATTTACGGTGTATTTATTAAAAATCTATTTTATTTGTGGTGTGATTATAATGTGGTGTAGTTATTAAATTTTGTAGTGGTAATATAATTACCCTTTTCTTATATTGAAAAAGGTGAAAATTTGTTCAATTTGAGATAGTTTTAAATAAAGTTTACTAACATAATTCCTAGGTATTTGTAAATTGAAATGAATTGTAAGATTCAAGTGCATTGAATTGGAACGAAAATTCTGTCTAATTATCAAATGCAGGCAATTTGTCCTACTAATTTAAATTGTTGAGGAGTTAATCAAATAGAGTCCTTTTGTGATGAATATAAGTAGTCTATGAAGATTTGCACATAATGTTTGTATGAAGAAAGAAAGATTCATCATTTTAATGAAATTTTTCTAGAGTAAACGAATTTGTATTGGTACATGAAATTTTGAAATTGTCTTAATTGGTAAATAATGGCTAGATTTTGTTGCCAGTGGATTTTGTGCTACTTTGTCTACTATTGAAATATGTATCAAACTGAAAATGAAAATTAAAGAGTTATGATGCATATGTTGACAGAACACCAATGTAAACTCCCCCTCAAGAACTCGTGGCAATGCTCTTCTTTATAAAAAAAAAATCTTAATAGGGTTTAGCTTCAAAAATGTTCTTTTTTAAAAAAAAAAAAAAAAAAAAAAAAAAAAAAAAGAAAAAAAAAATCTTAATAAGGTTTAGCTTCAATACATATGGGATATGGCTCTGAGTATCATGCAACTGGCTTAGTGCCATATGTGTACATGACAAGGATGTATCACGATGCTAAAATTCAAATCTACAAAGCTATCTTGACTATTTGTAGCGAATTACTGTGGGTGTTTCAGAGAACTGATTGGTGAAGTTCATGTGACCATGACTTCATTAACTTTGACTCTTGGACATCCTAACTTATTTCACCACAAATGAAATATGTAAAATGCAGTGTGCTGAATCCATTTGCTTGTTGGCCCAAGATTTGAGTTGGTATTATTTCTTTCGTTTTCGCAAACAGTTTTTTGTGCTTATACCTTATTGTGACAAGTCCAAACTGGTTCATTTGAAGAAAAATGTGGAATTATAGGGAGACAATTAACTAGAAAGTTGCAAAAATCATTGACTAG